GATGGGGAGTGTAGGAAAGAGGGGAAGAGGCGAGTGCAGGCGGGTTGGAGTGGGTGGAGAAAGGTGTCAGGAGTGTTGTGTGACAGAAGAGTGTTGGCAAGAATCAAAGGAAAGGTGTACAAGACAGTAGTGAGACCAGCTATGCTGTATGGGTTAGAGACTGTAGCAGTGAGGAAAAGACAAGAGGCAGAGATGGAGGTAGCAGAGATGAAGATGTTGAGGTTCTCTTTAGGAGTGACCAGGATGGACAGGATTGGGAATGAGCACATCAGAGGGACAGCTCAGGTTGGCTGTTTTGGGGACAAGGTCAGAGAGGCCAGATTGAGATGGTTTGGACATGTACAGAGGAGGGATAGTGGTTATATTGGTAGAAGGATGTCGGAGATGGAGCTGCCAGGCAAGAGGTCAAGAGGAAGGCCAAAGAAGAGATATACGGATGTGCTAAAAGAGAACATGAAGTTAATTGGAGTGAGAGTAGAGGATGCTGAGGATAGAGTTAGGTGGAATCAGATGATTCGTTGTGGGGACCCCTAACAGGAACAGCTGAAAGAAGAAGAAGAGCAAGAACTTCTGTAGCACAGGTGCTTAAGTAGTGCAGGCATATGTCGTCAACTCAAAAAATTCAGGCAAACTTAGAAAATAGTGAGCTTAATTCATAAACAATCTGGCAGCAAGCATGACATGGTACAGGAAACAGCAGTCCAGCATGGACTGTCCATCACAATGTTGTGAACAAGAAGTGAACTCTGGGTCAAAGTCATGATGGAATGTAATTAAACAAATTGGATTGCTTGGGCTTAAAGGACCACAAACCATTAAAGAGGATAAAGACATCTATTCACACACATAACATTAGATAACAATAGTTATTATAGCCTAACCACTGAATGTTTGAGTTAGCCAATATGTAAGTATTTTGGAAAATATGACAGACATAAAATTTATGTTAATAAAAGTACTTTTTAGTGAATGTATCCAGTTGCTGTACTGCTTGTGCAGTCAGCTGTAATGTCAGTTCCTACCTGACTGAGGTCTGGTACTGGCAGGAGTTTCTCCAGTTTGAAAAGAAACTCCCACACAAGGAGCTGCATGTCTGTGTCATAGCTGAGACCATATTCGGTAGGAAAAATCTCCTGGGAAGGACAAAGGTAATGCTTACTCAAATATGCCACTGCGAGGGGACATTACAAAAAATGAGTGAGTGCATAACAAATCAATCTCTTCAGAATGCCCACTGGGCTCCATGTGAAGCTGCCTTGCCTGGTAAAAATGCTCCCTTTCTGCTGGGTCTTTTAGAAGTGTTTGGATAAGCTCCACAAAAATTGTCTCCTCTGCATCCACCTCTGCATCTCCACTCTGAAAGACAGGATCATTGTTACTGGGACCAAACAACCCCAACAACATAAGCATAGCTCTCTGTCCGACAACAAGGGACATGTGACAGTGCTGTATATCTTAATGATATGAACCATTGATACAGTGTCACCTGTTTTTTGGTACTTGTAATACGGCTATTGTGAAAACACTGCTCTTACTTACTCCTGTGTATCCTGGGGGGCGGATTCTCTCTAAGTGATGCTGTATGCACAAAATGTCCGCTGGTTCCTCAGTTCTGCACAACTCAAGAATAATCTCAAGAGAAAGATGTAGAACAAAGACAAGGTTGCCCTTTCAGAAATACACTTAAGTGTATCAGTGACATTACTGCACAGTTATTAACATTTCTGTAACTTGATTTCATCTGAAATTCAGACTCACTTTTGATCGCAGTCGGAGAAGCAGTCTGCCTCGCTGCTTTGGAGTGAGCAGATCTGGAACCGTGGCTGTCACCAAGGTCACAAACTCATCGAGCTTTTCATAATCAAGAATGTCTCCCCTCTGAGCCACCTGCCACATGGCTGCAGAGAGCAGCCGCAGAGGAGGGATCAGCAGCCTTAATGATGACAACGGCAGGAATATGTCTGCACACAGACAGACAGTAGTGAACTGGGCCATAATGTCTTTGTGAAGTGCCAAGTGTCTTCTTGTGATGTGCCCCCCCGTTCCACAGCAAACACACTTGAGTGGTACACCCTAATTTTACTTGTACACGGGGTCAGGAGTGGGTATTTAGTTCAAACACTTAACTATAAAATCTGATTTAAATATGAAAAAAGTGTGAAGCTAAAAGACAGTAAGTCACTGGTAACTCAGAAACCTTATACGAGTCAAATGTTTTGTTCCACAGACCACACTACAGTGCATGTACTCGAGCCAGAGCACAGATTATGTGACTGTATCACAGTGAAATAATGCAAATTACACAACAAAAAGCATCACAAATGGGCAGGCTTAAAGCTACCATACTGATTGAGTAAAATGAATGCTCTCCTATCACAGTTGCAACTGACAAGCTTAAATGAACGCCTAGTAATATAATGGTACCTTATGCTAATGTATTTCGATTCTGTTCTAACCCCCTACATTTTTGTGATAATCGTTCTCTACATCGATAGTACTGTCTTTTAAATTTTTTTTAACCAATGCATACTCATGGAATTTAAAAACGGGTCAACTGCATTCATATTAGTATTAGTGGTGCGTTTTCAAATTTCATGAATATACAAGCCAAGAGATATTATCTATAGTTCTCTTAAGGACACGTCATTAGCTAACTACAGCACAAAACAAAATCTCTGCTCAGCTCAAGCATCAATTAACTACTTTTTTCATTTGGCTGATTTGCCTTACTAGCTACTTAGCTGAACACTGGAAAATGTAGCTTCAAGTATTCGATTAATAAGTCGTCAGAATCACAAACAAAATGAAATCATTTTCTTTCATTTAAGAGCAATGCTTACGTATTTAACGTTACATATATATAAATGTTGTCCTAATCGCATATTTTGCTGCTAAATTAGCGTTATCGCTAGCTATAATCATCGCTGTTAGTCGTTAGCTCGTAGCCCCAGCTAAGTTCTCTAGCTCGTTAACTGTGACAAAATCATTAAACACCCCAGTGAACGGACCTGTGTTGTCCATTTGATAAACACTGATAGCCGTGTCCATTGTTAACACAATACACAGTTACTTTTAATAGTCGCTAACAAAACTATCACAAAGTTGCAAGCCATTTCATGTTAGCTTTTGCCAACGGAAACATGTTGGAACTTGTTTTCAAAATAAAACTATCACATATAAAATGCATTTTAGCTATACAGAAGTATTTCTCATAAATAGCGCCCGCCAATACGCAAGAAAGTAAAGTAATGCAAGGTATTTAATTTATAAGTTCTTGGTGTAAAAAGCAAACAATTTATACTGTCATCCATTAGCTATTACTTGTGGGTAGCAACAGGTGGGCTGTGCTCACAAGGGTCTATGTACATTAAAAGATTCTATCAAGTGAAGTAAATAGTATATTAATGGCTGTTGCTGACGTATTGTCATAAGTTCTTAACCAGCAAACTATAAATGGACTACAAGACATGCCACATTTAACAACATAAATAACTCCCCAATGGAAATGGCACAAAGCACATGTAATAAATCTAATCTAAACTAATATGGATATAATAGATTTGAAATGTATGTAAATGTGAATACTATATAAATTAAAATAAAAAGTCACAATTTAGCAGGTTAGGAAAACACTTTATTTGCTGTATTTTCCATGTGAAAACAAGATTTTAGTGTGTTGGAATTATACTTCACAACAACAAGTTCTTTAAGGTATGCAAGTAAAATTTTGTTGCTCTGATGTATTAAGTGACCCTATACTGGATTTTCAGACACCTTATTATAACAGAAATACATATCAAGATGTGAGACTGCTCGTACCTCTTCAGTGCCTAAAACAGAATGCTTACAAGTTTAACAGTAACTTAACTGACTGAAAAACTCTTTCTTTCCCTCTGCCATTAGGCTCCTAAACAGCTGAGGAGTTTATTACCAGGAAATACATAATGTACCGACGACCTGTGTACTGTTTACATTCTCAGTTTGCACATGTATAATTTCACATTAACTGTTGACTACTGCACATGCTGCTCCCATGCAGCATACATTCTCTTATTATATTCTTATATATTTTTATTATACTGCTGCATTTGTTGCTTAAAGTGCTTTAGATTTTGTGTTACTTACTCATCTACTTTATATTTCATTTGTATTTTGTGGCATTCATGTGGACAGTAAAGTAAGAATTTCATTGTACAGGGAAACACGTTTCCTAACTGTGTATATGACAAATAAACACTTTGACTCATTATGGATCAAAACATTGAGTAAGTCCGTTCTACTAGGCAACATTTATAGTGACAACAATTACAATAGCATCTTAGTGATTTTGCATCAGGTACAAATTCTGATAAAGCCAATAACTAACTCTCACATTTAAATAACACAAACTTCAATTTGTCCTCTCACCCACAACAATATCATGAATCCATCCACTTAGAAAGACAGTTCTTAGCCAATGGCAGCAGGGTACAATGGGAATTTCTTTTGTGGTTCAAATCTCTCATATAAGAGCAGGATGTCACATATATAAAACTTGAAGTTCCATAGTCCAACCCATGGAAACTTGGGATGCGATATCCAATAATGCAGCATTATGTTCAGTCAAAGCTGGGTTAGCATCCCTGACAGCAGCGCAGGAGCAGCCCTTCATGTATCCAGGGGACAAATCTATAACAAAAACAATTGCATGTAAGGCAAAGGTTAAAACCCAGAAACCCCAGCAAAAGACAAGGGAGGAAAATACTCAGAAAAAAACAAAGGTACACGTGGTGACATTCAGTTTAGACAACAATACTGCATTATGGTTAAAGTGTTATACAAAGGCAGTGTATCTCAAAATGTTTTCAGAGCTTATATGGCCCTAACACATTCAGGAGTAGTAACAAGGGAAGGCACACTCCAAACAAATCTGGGAGACACTGATAAATAACGAAGGTACTCTAAATTACTGTTTAATCAGTGGTCTAATTAAAAATTAAGTGAATATGCTTAGATTTTGTACTATTTTGTCACACAAATCTAACAGTACCTCTGCTGTAACGGAACATAAAGTATTCTAATAGGCAAGCCTAATGATAAGGATAAGGACAATGACCTTTATTGGCCAAGTATGTTACACACAAGGAACTTGTTTCCGGTACAGAACCGATGGAGTTAGCTTGTTTAGCTACATGATTTAAAAAATACTAGCTTTGGGAAATTTTGTTTGAATATATACTTATTACTTTGGTGACATCACAGATAGCGACAAACATTAGTTAAATCCATCTGCATTAATAAGACTAACGTTAGCTCATTATTTTAGCAACTTCCGTAGCCGCCCTTTAACTAGCGTAGTTAGAATCTTATATGCTATATCCCACTTACGTTTTAAGAGATTACGAAGTACATGACGACAAACAACGCAAGGTCAATGAGTACGAACACCCAAAAATCAAACCAGTAGGAGTGTTTCGGTAAAGACGCTGAGTCTCCTTTAGAGTTCAACATTTTATTGTTTTCTTCTGACGCCATCAAGTGAGAAGCTCGCCCTCGCATGTTTCCCTAGCTATATGTGCGAACACCCCGGAAGACGACAAACGACGTGTCACGTAATCCTTCCAAATAAAACAATCCCGTGGTACTTGAAATGTGTAATTGCCATTTATCTGAACTTTTTTCCCACTGAACACAGAACTTTGGAAATGTTTATGAAATCGACATTTCATTATAGCCACCTGCATTCTCTGAAAATATACACCGATCAGCCACAACATTATGACCACCTGCCTAATACTGTTTACATAGGAGTCAACTTGGCAGTTGGTTGGCACTCCTGTCACTCTGCAGCTCACTGTGCATCTTCTATGAATCCATTTGCTTCCACAGTTATACTGTCAGGAAGAGCACAGATGTGCCTACAATTCAGTGAAAAACATATGTAAAAGGAGTGCAAACTGTGGTCATGAGGACAAGTTAGAATTTTTTAGACAAATTCAACTGCTTCACCACTCTAGGTGTGATATCACCACTACAGCCCCTGACTCTTTCGCTTCATAGAGACCAATGTACAGTATTTCTCATTTTCAACCATTTCAACAAAGATTCAAATAAATTTTAATCTTTTGAAAAGTACAAATAGAAGTTAAAGGTTTAATCTACAGTAGGGCAGCCTCATTATCAGTGAGCTGTGGACATCCATGACCCTGTCGCCAGTTCACCATTTGTCCTTCCTTAGACACTGTTGGTAGGTACTGACCACTACAGACCAAGAACACCCACCAAGACCTGCAGTGTGGGGGATGCTCTGACCCAGTCATCTCACCATCACAGTTTGGCCCTTGTCAAAGTTACTCAGATCCTTACACTTGCCCATTTTTCCTGCTTCCATCACATCAACTTTGAGGTCTGAATGTTCACTTGCTGCCTAATATACCCCACACACTGACAGGTGTCACTGTAACAGATAGTCAGTGTTATTCACTTCACCTGCCAGTGGTCATAATGTTATGCCTGATCGGGGTACAGGTCATTACCATTGTTCCATTCGTGTATATATACACATTGTAAACACTAGATGTCAGAAAGACATCACCAAAAGCTTGTTACTCTGGGCTCTAGTTGTTACTATCTCCCTATCTTACTACACAATATACAATACGTCAGTGTCATCCTATCTAACAGCAGATTGATACTATTTAATGTTTTCATTAGAAACATTTCTACTTTTGCTCACATTTGAGACATCAGATTATTGCCTGTAATTAACATTACAACTAATTTTCAAGGAATATTGTGAAATTCAAATTAACACTATATTTACTGATAACAGCTGCTAATAGTCCCTTTGTAGTAGTAATGGGAAACTGCTGGTACTGTAGGTTTAATGTCCAGTGAAGTTTTTATGTTTTTACTGATAACCCCTAATGTTGATTGTTCTGCATTTGAGCTGTTTGAGCAAATGAAGATTAGTTTCATTCTCATGGACTAAGTTCCATATTCAGTGCTTTCAAGGTCATGAACGTGTTTCTTTACGAGCATCCAATAATTTCTTAAAAAGTCACTGTAATATGCTGACACTTTTCACCTTGTGGCTGTCAGTTTTTTGACATAAACTACAATATGTATTTTTTAAGTAGTTTATTTCAATAGAGGCATATATACACAAGTTGTTAATCTGAGGACTCCCTATACTTTTATTCAAGTAGCCTACTTTTTACTTCAAAGAAAATGTACTTAAGTACATTTTTTGGGCACTCTGCCTACCTGTGATACTGTACTTTGTCTAAACTGCCCAAAACAGAAACATAAACATGCTTCAAATAGACATAAAAAGCAGGTTGTTTGTGACACCAATACCATTTAATAGGGCTTTACAAAGACTACAAAATGCTCCAGATGAGTTAAATCACTGTCTCTGTCTATTTACATGATATGTTACATACAAATGTACAAAATATAAACATTTAAGGACAAATGTTTCACCCAAAAAGAAGACAATTCTCTCTCAAACCAGAATGCTATGGTTTTCAACTGAGACTTAACTGCAAAGTGTTAAGTGGGAAAAATTACCAGCTGCATCAACACAATGGTGTACACTGTCAACGGTGTCAAAGTTCTGTTAGCTTGAGAACTAATGACCTACAACAGGAGTGTAGAATAGTGGAGAGGGCGACAGATTGAAGCTCAAGATTTATACATGGGCGTGAGTCTAGGTAAGGAACAACCTGTGGTATCATGATAACAACCCCTTTCATCTGCACGCCCTTGCAGGCTCAAGGCTGGCCAAGTTGGCTTGGCTGCAGAGACATGTGAAGCTGAAGACAGGTAGGATTGTAGAGGAAAAGATTGTCCTGAGGTTGTGACAATGTGACTTGTGGGTCTCTGGTGGGCTTTGACCAGTAGCACCTGTTGGTAAGTGTAACAGTACAATATCAGGTCAGCTTCAGTGCCTTGGACAACTGGCAAGCCTGACGTGGTGGTAAGCTTGGGTTAAAATATTCAGAGAAGAAGGGTTTCTAAGGACAGGTACTTCTAAAGACAGAGAGAATCCAGAGAATATTATGGCAGGATGGGAGAATACTGGAAAAGTGCCTCTTTTTTTGTTCTCCATCTGTGAGTTCAGCAAGTTAAAAAAAGCTTCTTACTGTACACCATATGCCTCCTGCGTGGGCAAGACATCCAGTCACTACAAGATATACCCGTTTCTGACAGCATGTAGAATTTTTGCATTTCTTTTTTCTCTGTTTTCAAAGTACAATATTTTACTCAGTGGATCAAGCATATTGTAACATCAACAGGGCAGAATGCATCTTTGATTCACTGTGCAAGACTTAAGTATTTACAATTCACCCCAACCTTATACTGTGCAAAACCAACCCACTCATTAAAGAAAGAGAGAACAATAAAAATTCAAAATGGCTTCTGTCCAGTACACACATACGTAAAGGTAAAGGTCTTTTCTCAATGCATCCCCTTTAGAAAGCTTCAAAACATGCTTGTCAGGCTAGACAACCCAAAAGTTTGGTTGTGCTCCAGTCAGTTCAAGTGAGCCCAGCTCACCTGGGCAGAAATTAACAAAAAATACTCCACCCCCAATGTTTTTACAATATTGGTCAGTTTAAATTCAAATACAGCATCGACTCTATCATTCTTTAACTGTCTGAAAACAAGAACTTTAGAAGAAGAGGGAGCAACGACAAACAAAAGATGCTGTTTTTCTGAAGCAGCTCGTCATCGTCCAACTTTTTCTCACTAATGGGAGGAGATGCCTCCCAAACATTTGCACATTTAAGGCAGTGAGAAAGCACCAGAATCACTGTTCCCTTTATCAGCCCATGCTGATCATTTGCTTCTGAAAGTGCTTTTGATTATGTTTTTGGTACCTCATGGATCCCAGAAAGGGTGCGGATGCTGACTGAGTCTATCAAATAACTGCCAGAAAGTTCCAAACAGGACTTTGTCACTTGGTTCTCCATTCACTTTTTTCTTTTAAATGCCACAGGAATCCAGCTATTTCCAATTAACTTTTGCTAAGCCTCCCCAGTTACTGTTGCTATGCCTGTCAAGCTTTCCAGTCCTGCACCTAAGCAGTTTAAAATGACAAAGCATTTGTCAATTGAAGTTTTTAGTAATTTTTGAAACAGCAGGTTCTTGATTTCAGACTAAGGTTGACGAGAGCACCTTCTCATTTTTATCTGACATCATGCATTGATTTTGCCAATAGAAATGGCAGATTTATCAGCTTTATGCTAATGTTAGCCCCATGAGTTGATTTGAAAAGGCAGTTCCCAGCTGACATGTTAATGTTTCCAGCTGATAAGTTTTAAAACAATAATCTTATAAAATGGGTCCTAAATATGCACTTGACAGCTACGTACATGATATGGCATTAAAAGACAGAGGCTAAAGCTGCATGTCACAGGAAAAAAGTCAGCATCCCTACCAGCTAATGAATCATGTAGAAGATATGGATCAACACTGTTCCTGTATGCAGTGTAGAGTTAGTGATCACTAGTGATAAAAAAACAATTAAGATCAGATGTTATTTCATTCTACAATATCTCTATATTGCTGCTTAGCTTGCATATTTGATCATATTTTCAGTATGTTTTCACTCTTGATGTTATAAGAAGCAAGGCTTTGTGGATGAGGATGAACCAATGTGTTTATATAGCACCCAGGACCGACTTCCACACAGTGGATGTGCTAGTCGGGACTGGGGCATTTTTTTAAACCTAACTTGCAGCCCCACAAATTAATGTAGTTAGTAAAAGATGGTTACTACTGTAAGTAGTAAACTATTTAGCTGAACATGAAAACATTTGAACTGATAATGATGATGGCTTTGGAAAGGCTTTTTCAATCTTGAGTATCGCTCTTACTACATGTTCATGCACACTGCTTGGATTGGTGAAAAAGTTCAAAGCTTGACAGACATGCCATGGACCGAACAGTGGGGTGAGGTGTTTAGCGAATGATCAACTGATTGATAGAGGGCACGGCCTGTTATGTCATGGTGCACTCAAAGATAACAAGTGACAACAGGCTTCAAAGTGACAAAGGCCAGTAACAACTTTATCCAAGTCTACAACGATGGTCGTGTCTGCATTGTGATGGCAAACTTGTGTGTGTGTGTGTGTGTGTGTGTGTGTGTGTGTGTGTGTGTGTGTGTGTGTGTGTGTGTGTGTGTGTGTGTGTGTGTGTGTGTGCACATATGGCAGTAAATCATAGTGAAACACTGGCACTTGTCCATGTTTTTCTTCACAGTAATAATGTGGCTGGATGACACAGACTGTGTTTTCGTTGTGCTTGTTGGCATGCAGGGCAGCAAGGAGTGGCTTGGCAGTGCCTGACACTGAGGAGGTTCAGGACACGAGACCAGCACCTCAAGGCTTACCTGATGACTGAGCTGAGGCCAGGAGGAGTGTGTTTATATGTGTGTCAGTATGTTATGATAATGTAACTCTTGTGATCCTAGTTGGGCTGTAGAGGTCTTGCAAATGTTTCAGCTCAACCCCATCTGGTGCCATCATGGAAGTGTAGAACTGATAGTACACAATTTATGTTCAGAAAAAGTGTTCAAATGTTCAAAAAAAATATAGTGGTAAACAGACAGTGTCTTCTAGCCCTAAATTCTACTCTAAAACATTCACTTCTGAGGTGCTAGTTCATCAAGATGTTTTTTTTTTTTACTTTATCAGACAATACAGAAACACAAAATCATTCTAATATCTGAGATGAGCCCAATTTGCAGGTGAAGAAACTATCAGCAGTTCACAGCCACTGTTTTCTAAGAGCTAAGAGTCTCCAGTAAGGCCACCAGAGGGCATTATAGCACATAAAAACACTAGTATTCTCCTATTACTTGGCTCCCTCAGTAAGTGTGGTCAGAGATCTGGTACCCCAGAGGTGTTAAAGACGTCTGCCTTGCTCAAGGACACTTTGGCCAGCTGGATTGTTGGTCAAATGAGGGCTCTAACCAATTAAAGCCTCTGATTAAAAAAAGTGTCCTCCTGCTGCCGTTATGTAAGTGTATTTACATATGTGTATGTATGTCTATGAGAAGCACCTCTGTAAATAAAAAGGACATAAACAACAGAACCTGTCCCACCCCATTGTAAACATCTGAAGATATAACTGGGTTAAAAAAGGAAAAAAAATTCCAGTTTTGTCTCTCAGTTTTTGACACTTTGTAGATTGAAATTCAATGGTAAATGAATGGAGCAAACTAGCTCATCATGGCTGAGAACAATTGAGTCTGCTTCAGAGGAATTAAGTCACTTATCAGACACATTCTGCCTACACATATATGAAAAGTTGTATTCCATTAAAATGGACTAACTTCACTATTTCATGTCAGTAAAAATAAATAATCCAACCTGTATGAATTTTATAATTTTGATAAAGTTAGTGACTGTTCTTCAAAACATAAAATCATTTCATTTCATATTGCACCATCACTATGTAAAAATAGGCATTTGCTTTTAAATAGTGGTATACCATTTTGGATAATAAAACTTTTCATATATATCACATATCTGTGCACTATAAGGAAGGTGTCTGGTAGTGATAGAGATTCAAAGGTTCCCAGGTTCAGGGGGTCCAAAGGTCTGGTGTCTTTCGGCACAGTTCTTGGTCTCATAGTGCCGACTCCAGTGAGGAGTCCAGCTGGTCATCATGGTGACTGGTGCTGTCACTGTCGCAGCTCTGCGTGCTGGAGTAGTTAGCTGCCTCCTGCAGCCGTAGCAGCATGTTCATCTGCAAATACAACACAACAATATATTAACAGAGACTGCGCATAGAAAAATAAAGACACCCAGCATGAGAACTTTAGATAATGTACACACAAATACAGTAAAGTTGATAAGTGTTTGATTAAATCTGAGTGAAAATAGCATTTTGCTGCAATGGATATAGTTTATTGAGGGCAGTTATTTCCAAACTGGAGATTAGGACCTCACTAAAGGTTGAAGAAGTGTACAACTTTTTCTACTCTTTGCTTACTTTTGCAAGCAGCTGCTGGGCAACCAGTAGTGACTCCAGGAAGTTACACTTCCAAACCAAGATACAGTCCAGTATATAAACTATAAAATGGCAAATTGCCATTTTTTCATTTTGGATTTTATGCAGACAAACAAACCAAATATATCTAGTGTTAATTAGTGAGCTTTGGAGGTGCTGGTAGACAGATTTTGCTATGTCTGGACAGAAAATAAACTAATTCCAGCCTTGATGCTAAGCTAAGGTAGCTGGCTGCTGGCATTAGACTTACACTTGTCAAATTTCCATACATGAGCAGGGCAAAATATTACAAATACCTTTCAATATAATTCAGTCCATTACAAATACAATGATCTCAATAATAAACATAATTTCTAATCATCAGAATCAGACTCAGAATCAGCTTTACTGGCCTAGTAGGTTAAAGACACAAGGAATTTGACTCCAGTACAGAGGTTCTCAATGTGCTTTGTAAGTTAAGAGGAAATATTCAATAGCATTAATGAAAAATTATATTAATTTATAAACTTTGTAAAAGTAAAATTTACAACAGAGCCAATGTATTAGATTGATTAAGACTGTACAAGAATACCTATTAAAGAGGCCAGTGTTTATCTAATGGATATCAGTTTTCTGATCTAACTCTGACAGAAAAGGCTGGGAATCACTGGTTTTTGCTGACTATTTTTACACATTCACTTACATTAACCGAGTGTGATGTTTGTGATGTGGATCATAGGCTATATTTTCCCTAAACTAGTAAAGAACTACTACTACTCACAAACTTTATTTTTATGTTTACCACAACACTTTTAAAACCTTATGGTGAATCACAACAACAGAAGAGCAGAACTCCTCACTCCCGAAACAAATGAAGATGAAGTAGATGAAATGAAGTCTGGCGGTAGGACCTGACCCGAACTACACCCCTTCTGTTTCTATGTCATTTCAACTGCTGAAAACCCCCCTTTCTCACTTTAGTTATTTGTTACCCACCCATCCTCCATTTAAAAATAAAGTAATAACCATAATAAAAATAACTTCTTTCCCTCTATTCTATCGGGGGTCTGCCGGTGCCCGAGCATGGTGCAGATCTCCAAAACTTTTCCCAAAAACTGTAAGTGCACAAACACTTCAAGATCATAAGCGTCTCCCATTTCCATATTTACCACATTCCCATAGTGAGGGCAGTTCACAGCCAGTGAATGGTAAATGATGTAGAAGTGCTGATGTATCTGATGCACTGCTTCATATGTTCCTAAGCCTTTTCATACCTGTGCTCAAAGTGTCATGGCTACAACACACACACTTCAAAATCAACCAAGTAGCTTTTTTGTTTGTTTTTGTTTTTTCCCTTTTTCTTTTTACTTTTTACATGACTACCCTTTAATTCCTCTTAGGCTACAATAACCCACCAAAATGGAAACTAATTCTCTATCTCTTCACCCATTTGCCTTTATCTTTCTCTGCTCTCCCTCAACAATTGATCCTTTTGTATGTGTGACTACTTTAGGTATTTTTTTGCTTGTCGTAAATTGTCTCTCTAAATAAACTAAACTCTCCACATTAGACTCCAACAATGTTACTGCATATGTTTTGTCTCCCTCACCAGTGGATCTCCCTCAGTGTCACTCTGAGACACTTGCTTGGATGACGCTCCCTCCTTGGATGAGCTGTAGCTGTCGTATCCTACATCTTCTGGCCTCAGCTGGAGCAATGACTGCCCATCCTGCTGCAGTGAGGTGGCACTCCATGGGTATGTATCATTCACCCACTTGGACGGATCCTCCCATGCTGCTCTTTTGCCATACAGCTGCAGGAGTGAAAAGGAAGAAAGGATGTAGATGAACGTGAGTAATGAAAAACATTTGTGACTTCCAGCATTATCAAAGAGCCTGAACCTGTTTGTTGATGATTTGCTATTTTGTAGGTCGTCTTCTGTTTTACTTGATTTATGTTTTATATTGAATGCTACAATAATGCTGTAATAATTAGAAAAAATCTAAGTGGTGTCATTTCAAGGTTCTGATTCTCTCTCTAAGGTTATACTGTGTATTTACTGATAACAGTGCAGCTTTATAATGATCTGTGTGTTTTTTTATATTTTGATTACTCAGTGTGGTGAATTTGTTTTATTTCAGTGTGTTGGAGCAAGTCTTGTACTTCTTATAGTCATTTGGCTTTTGCTCAACAGAGTTAATTTTAAGCATTATAGGACATACCTGAAGCCCTTCCCTGACTGCCTCCAGCAGGTAGGGCACCAAGGAATAGTTCCACAGGTCGGTGAACCAAACCCGGGAGCCTTCTACATCCATGGGACAAGACAGGAAGAGACGGGGGCCTGTGAGGACAAAAAAGCCCAGATGATGAGTGTTTGTTGAATGGAAGATGGAAGAGCCCAAAGACACAAAGCAAACTAACGACGCACATGTAAATTCAAGCAACATTCAATGATTTATGACAGCTACAGTAATATTCAGCAACAGTGGTTAAAAAAGGACACCACGCAGGCTTTAGTATTGGTGAAATGCATATGTGTGAATTGACCTATTGTGACATCAGAGGAGCTGTGTGCCTCCAGGAAGCTGTTGAGGTGCTGCCAGGTCTTGGGGATCCAGTCGATGATCTTAATCAGGTCATTGCTGCGCATGTTCTTATTGATCTCTGTCTCTATCAGCTTCCGCCTCAGGAACCGGCCCAGGAAACCTTTGACTGGCTCAGTGTGGTTGGTGCACAGCACCCACCTATGACAAGACAGGTCATCGGTGGTCAAACAAAATCAGTGGTACTAATGAGCAATCCAACATTTAAATCTCATCAAGGCAACATATTACAGATAATGTGACTTGTGCTGTCTCAGGCCTTCCTACCATCAGTAGAAAGGGTTTAGGTTTATTTCACATTACTATAATAGATTCACATTAATTTCATGTCTGGCTCATGATGAGCTTTCCCCAATCACTTTGTAGCTGCCAAATCATCATCTAGTCAAACATTCCAAGCCAAACTGATCCTCACTGATAACATGTATTATAGTCCATCCATTTTCATCTAACATGGTTCATTATGCAAGAGGCATAATTACAGCACTCACTGTGAAAGAATGCCTTTAGTTTACAATGTGGGAGAGATAACACACTGATATGGGACCGAAATGAATTATCTGACAAATAAAATGAAACATAACTGCTTTATGGAATCAATAACAGTTCTATACATTACACAATCCTTACACAATATACAGTACGAACATCACTACATAAGGAGTATTTTAACCATCACATAAATCACCAATACCACAATATATTGAATTCAGTGACAAGGTTCTGGCTCAAGTCTCATCACAAACCTGAAATTGTGGTGTAGCTCAAGGTTAGGAGAGGAGGAAACTCCCTGGTTCATGGTTCCAATAACATATGGACTAATAGAGAAAAAGACAACAAAATATATAATAATTACTCACAGTTGCAACCAGTGTGTCCCGCTAAACTGCTGCATAATGTTGCTGCTAGTTCAGCCAAAGATTTTTAGCGACTTTTAATCAAATGGTTTTTTTGCTCCTGTTCTGCCACAGCATCCTCATCCTCACATTAGTGCTTTACATGATGGACAGTCTAATTATTCATCAGTATGAATCACCAGTCATCAAATAAATACATAAATGAATGAATGAATGATTGAATGAATAATATTAACTGTACTGATAAAGCTGTGTGTGACTAGTGGCAGAAGTACAGATTAGAAGTCATTCTTGCTACGAAAAGAGGAAGAGTTTTAATTCACCATTTGTGGTATTTGCAGTTGAGGAAGCCATTGAATATATCACTGAGGGAGCCAATGTGGTGGAGATTGTCCAGGACGACCACAGTGGGGAGCTCTGTGTCTGTTCTCTCAGAGTTGCACTGTTCTGCCAGGTTGCACAAGTACTGACGCAAGTCCTGCAGAAGGCAGCATTTCCAGGTTTTAATGTATACACACTCATTTGGGTGCAACTTTTTTGCTTGGAACATTCATTTGGAAATCTGTAAACAGCACTGCTGTTCAGGCATTCTTCTCTCTGGACAAACCTTAACTATAAAAAGCTACAAATGGGTAAAGTTTCAATGTCTGTCACTGCTGTTAAAAGTATCAATGATGCAGCTCACGTACTGAAGCCCATTACTGAATACTAGTATATTTTCCTTATGTCCAAAAATGTCATGTTTCGAAGTCAGTCTTTCAGAATCAAAGCATAAAGGCTGTTTTTCAAGACTGCAATTTTGTACTAACAGTCAACAATCATAGAGGAGACATCTAAGGAACAGGAGGCAAAGAATCCCAATCTGTACACATAGCAGCACAGAAGACATTTGGTGCATAATCAGGTGTAATTTAAGAAGATTTGTTCATATTTGCATGTGATATCCAATACTCTTTGGTAGAATGTAATTAAAAACTGGTTTTCCCTTAATTTTTCTTGAGACAAATGTATTGCATTCTGGGAAGGTAGGAATCACTACATGCACAAAGATTATGTTAAAAAAATCATTGCTGCAATGTGCAGAAAATTTGTTCCTGAACAACAACAAAATCAAACCTGTGTTTATCTACCTTGCTTGAGTTTTGGTCGACATTGAAACTGGCCACATTGCGTTCGGTCACCTCCTGCCCAAACTGGGAAATGATGTACTCAGCCAGCTTGGCAGCCAGGAAAGATTTGCCAGTGCCACTGGGTCCTGAGAGGATGATACGGCGGTGCTCCATCAACAGGTTGAGGTATCGCTGGATGATGGGCTTCGGGATGAGCGTGTCAAACACCAGGCTGTCTATACTGCTCTCCTTTACTCCTAGGAAAGGGAAGGAAGGAAGGAGGGAAGAAAAGATGGATAGGCAGAAGAGTGAATATTACTGTAATAACGACTTGTTTTGCTAAATAAGGTTCAAGTTGAAAACCCAAACCTGGTTTCAACTGTACATCAAGTTGAAATAGAAACTCCTTGTTTCCTTGCTGCCATACCTTTGGGGCTGATCTTGATGACGTTGTCGCCCACCAGGTAGCCGCAAGGTAGCAGCTCAGGCACTTCGGAGGCATGGGAGCGAACCACTTCACCCATCCTGTAGCAGTCGATGCTGTCTGAATTGAGACCCAGGCTGGTCAGAGGGTCCACCCGAAACACATACTCCTGCAGTGAGGATTTAATTAAGTTAAAGGAGGGAAGCAGCTTTGCACCAGGTTAGGACGACACCCAGTCAGCAGACCAGCTTGAAGATGGTACAAATGAAAAAACTATATTCTTTGACCTCCTTTTCTAAGTTCTAGTGGGTTTATAATTGTCTTAATTTTAACCTCACAGAAACATAATTTTAAAGAATAAAACATATACCTCATCCTTAGGTGGGGTGTGGCTTATGAAATCTAATTCCATGCACTCAAGGATATTAATTAAACACATAATAAAATATCAAATATGGGCCTCTGCAACTGTATGCATTACTCTCCCTTTTTCATATTGTTTCAGCTCAATAACTAGTTGTATTTTAAAGTAGATGAATGTACCATAATTAATGTGCCATAACACTTAAGTTATCTACACCATTTATACAAACATCACTTGATAAGATTAGAGGAACTCTTATGTATTTCTTGTGTATTCTTGTATTTTGCCTGGTGCCCAATTCAAATATTAACAATGGCTGCATTCAAATTAGGTGTACATGTGTCAGAGCTCTGCTGTTGTGCATGATTACTCACACATTAATACAACAAACTGTTAGAAAGTCATCATCGAAGCTAACCATTGGTTCTTCTGCTATGACCACTGAAAATGTCTGCAGTGAAAATCTACCATGTGCTTTAATGACTAACCTATATCAGTAAGAAAAGGACTTTATCATTTACCTTGAAGAGACGTCGGATGACCCCATCCAAGACGTCCCACTTGGTTTTTCCACTCACACCTATAGACCCAATCAAGTACTCTTGGCTTTGTGTACCCTGAGTTGGGTTGACAAATTAATCAAAACACAGGAGTCAAATAAGTTTATAATGTTTGTTTCAAGGGAAAATAATGTGAAATCTTCATCCACTAACCTTAGTGGCATTTGGCCCACTGCTGATGGTAACCACTATTCGCACATTCCTGCCTTCTTTGCGCAAATTACCCTCATAGCTGTCATCTAGCAGAATATCTGAAAGCAAAAATTTTGGTTAGGAAGCACAAAGAAATTTTAATTTATCAGAACTTTGATTCATAATAAACTAAAAATGCACAGACAGCCCTCAAAGCAAAAGAGAGCTAATGGGTTTCTTTCATGTGATAATTACTTTTACTTTTAATCAATGCTCCCATATAAAGCAATTTATAGTCAGTCTGTCAAATGATAATGCATGTGGGTTAGAAAATGAAATAGACTATACACAGTATAATTCATATCCCCGTATTAGTAGAATCAGACTGCAATATGAATAATCAGGTTTTGTTCTATATCATATTGTGAACATGATTAAAACCAGGACAACATAATGCATACAACAGGGATTAGTTTTCATGCAAAGGTACTAAGTGACAGATGATGATGATGATGATAGTGAAATGGCACAAGGAGATGTTGAATGAAGTTCAATTTGAAACAGTATATTGAAATGATCATATTTGTCACAAAACATTCTAATGAAAAGATCAGTCCCCTCAGGGGCACCAATGAACAACATTGCACCTAGGGCACCAAAATGTCCAGAAACCTTTAGCCTTTGACAACAACCACAACACTAACAACTCCAACCATAAGTCTCTCTTGTTTTTTTTTTTTTTTTTTTGCAGGTTCCACATTGTATGCGATTGGCTTCTCTTAGTTGAGGGCTTTTGTTGTTGTGCTCATAACTGTTGGGCTGATAATGGCCCACTGGCCTACCCCTCTTCCAACATGTTACGGCTCTCAGCTCATCCCTCCATCAATTAATGAGGCCCTGAGTCCTCTGAGAGAACTGTGCCTTCTCTGTTAATTACAGGACAAGTCAGAAGGGGCCAACACTATTTCACTTCTCAAATGGAGCTTGTATGTGTGTGAGTGTGTAACAGACTCCTACTATTTTGAGTGAGAGAGCCACTATTTCTTCACTTCATGCAGGTCCTCCTGATAATTTCTCTCTGTGCTAAGACAACTGTCTTACATTTACTGAGGCTAGTACAGAGTGAGTTAATCCAACTTGATGCTGTGAAAAAAACCTAAGCAGCAATAAATTCAAGTCAGCTCTGGGAGGTAGTTTCTGCAGAATATAAACTGTGTCATGGTTTAACTAGACAGAACAGCATAACATATCAATTACACCTGTATGAAAGAAAAAGAAAATCCTGCTTGTCCTCCTGAAATTGTTGGGGGCAGGGGAATTATTACACAGTTTTGTTACTTACTTCCACCACACTTACTGCTCCGCACTCATTTTTGCACTATCTGAGATGCTGCCAACCAGAATTTGTATACAATGTATACAATGACAAAAAAGCCTCTTT